ATTGCAGCCCCAAGCCCCACACACAACCCAGCTGACCAGCAGCCTCAGACAGCCCTGCCCAACTCCCTTCTTCCCTATGGAGGCCTCAATAATGCCTCCCACACTTACATGCACATGGTGCCCCCTGCCTGACCACCTTCCTCCTGCTCCCCCCCAGCCCCCTTACAGGCTGGGACTCTGCCAGCCTGCAGAGAGCTCTTTGCAAAACAGCAAAATCCATGGGTTTCTCTGTTAAAATTAGAAATCTGTATTTTCCTCAGGTAAAGGGGGAAATCTGCATTTTTTTCCATTTTCCCTTGGGAAATGGAAAACCTGGATCCCTGATCATTAGTCGCTACTGAATATCTTGGACCCTTTAGACTGCAGCTCACAAAAATACTACTACATTTTCCTTCCCACCTTTCCTAACAGGATCCTTTGTTATGGCCTCTTGTTTTACAAGCTGAATTAGCCAGAACAGGCTAATAAATTGATTAGTGGAACAGGAAATTCACTACTTAATACTCTCCATGCCTTTGCCCGGGAGCAATAAATTAATAAATTAATCGTTTTAGACTGAGTTCACAATTTTATCATAATGTTGATCAATGAGTAAAAGCATACTCTATATGACCACTTATCTAACACAAAACCATATTAGAAAAAAGATGTAAATCTATTTCAGTGCATCTGACAGGCTTGTAAAAAATGTCCAGTGTTAATTGATGAAGCTGTAGCCTGGAACCAAGATATTTTATTCTGATATTAAGTGCCCTTCTTCTGTTTTAGGCCATTCTGGACAGTGTGTTGTTATTCGAGGAGGGCAGTCTCTTGGATTTTGGGATGTGAAAAGTTGCAAAAGCTTCAAAGCTATGGCATTGTGTAAGCAGAAAATCAAATCATATGAAGAAACTGAGCCTAAGTATGGAAGGCCTGTCACTTCTTGTTACTTTGGATGGGAATCAAATTCTAATCTGCTCAACTGCTACAAGGTATAAAACAACAAAAAAGGCTTACCTAAATCTCTTGATTTGTGTATTTTTATGTACTGTTCTTAATATCACTATTGGCATGAAAAAGTCTTTATTTCACTTGATCTTTTCCCTCTTGAAATGGACTAGATTGAAAAGTCATTGGCCCCATTTATAATGTGTTTCCAAATAAGCTATTGCCTAAATAACTATACTGCCAGGAATACATACCTAGCAAAGTGTATATTTTTATTGCAAAGGCAAACAGCACTGCCCAAACTTTTTTTCATCTCCAGAGATTTCTGAATCACTAGTAAAAAATTATTGTTTTTAAAAAATGTATTTTACTATGCAGATATTTCACAGTGAAAAAGTCCTGAAGAAAAGAACATGGGGTGAAGCAGAAGCATTATGCCAAGATTTTGGAGCACACCTTGCCAGCTTTACCCATGTCTACGAAGAGGAATTTTTGAATAATTTTTTAAGCATGATATTTGATCGGTAAATATGTATATAATTTAGCATTAACAAAGCCTTTTTAATTCTAGTAAATGAAAGAAAAGAGTGCTATTCATGCCCCTTTGATCTCACCAATGATGGCCAATAGCTGACATTAATTTCCCTCACTGACTGATGAACTTGAGATAAATATATTAGTCTAGAAGCAACACAACAGTGAATTCTAATACAATTCCTTTGAAAGATAGAATCATAAGTTAAGAATGGATTTCAAGGGTTATCTGCTCCAACTTCCTACACAAATAATGGGTCTGCTATATCTTCATCTCCAATGAAGGAGATTCTGCAAGTTCCGTAAACCTACTCATCTCATAGTAAGTCTTACAGGACACTGATCTACTTTGCTGTAATCTAAACTCACTGCTTTATGTCCTGCTTCTGTGACAAGGGAGAACATTATTTTTTCCATCTTCCTTCGGCACTCCTCCAAATATTTGAAAACTGACACCTTGTTTGCCCTTCCCACCACCTTACTTCCCACAGACATATTGATTGTAAGGGGCTGGAAGGGACCTTGCAAGATCATCAGGTCCAGACCCCCTGCACTAGGCAGGAAAGATAACTGGGTTCAGGTTACTCCAGCAAGGTGACCATCCAGTTTCCTCTTGAAGATTTCCAGGGTAGGTGACTGCACCACCTCTGGAGGGAGTTTATTCCACAATCTGGACACCCTAACTGTGAAGAATTTTTTTCTACTGTTAAGCCTGAAACCGTCTTCCAGGAGTTTGTTGCCATTATTCCTGGTTTTCTCCAAGGTTGTCCTGGTGAACAGTTGTTTGCCAAACCCTTAATATATTCCCCTGATATAGTGGTAAGCTGCTACCAAGTCCCCGCTCAGCCTTCTCTTTTTCAAGCTGAAGAGGCCCAAGTCCCTCAGCCTTTCCTCATATGGCTTGCCTTGCAAGTCTGTGATCATACGGGTGGCTCTTCTCTAGACTTCCTCAAGCTTTTCCACATCCTTGTTGAAGTGCAGTGTCCAGAACTGGATGCAGTACTCCAGCTGCAGTCTTACCAATGCTGAGTAAAGCAGAAGAATCACTTCCTTGGTTTTGCTTGAGATGCATTGGTTAATGCTTGCCAAAGTATTGTTTGCCCTGCTGGCTACAGCATTGCACTGACGGCTCATGTTCATACTATGGTCTGTTATTACCCCTAGGTCCCTTTCAGTCGTGGTGCTAAGCAGTATGGCACCACCAAGCCTATAAGTAAGTTGGGGATTGTTCGTCCCCAGATGGAGCACTTTACACTTCTCTGTGTTGAACTTCATCTGGTTCTGATCTGCCCAACTTGCCAGCCTGTTGAGGTCCGCCTGCATCTGCAGCCTATTTTCAAGTTTGACCATGCTCCCCCATAACTTGGTGTTGTCTGCGAACTTAGCCAGTGAACTCTTCACTCCTGCATCCAAATCATTGATAAAGATGTTGAAAAGCACTGGACCAAGCATGGACCCCTGAGGGACACCACTAGCCACTTCTCGCCAGGATGACACAGATCCATTCTTTAGAACTCTCTGGGTCCAACCCCACAGCCAGTTTCCTACCCACCTAACTGTCAAGCAGTTAAGTCCACAGTCCTCCAATTTTCCCATAAGAACATCATGGGATACCAGATCAAAGGCCTTGTAGAAGTCTAGGTATACAGTGTCAACCTCCTCTCTCTCATTCAGGTGGCAAACTACCTGGTCGTAAAAGGAGATGAGATTGGTAAGACAAGACCTGCCTGCAATGAAGCAATGCTGGCTGTCATTCAGAATCCTACCTTCTGCAGGCATATCGTACATAGACTCCTTGATGAATTTTTCCAGGATTTTCCCTGGGATAAAAGTTAAGCTAATTGGCCTATAGTTGCCCAGGTCCTCTCTCCTTCCTTTCTTGAAGATGGGCACATTGGCCCTCTTCCAGTCTTCAGAGACCTCCCCCAGGTGCCACAAGTTTTGGAAGAGTTTCACCAGAGGTTCTGCGATGACTTACACCAGCTCCTTCAGCACTCTCAGATTAAGTTCATCCGGCCCTGCTGAGTTGTAAATGTCTAACTTTTCTAACTGATCATGCACCAGCTCAACGTCAACAGTAGGAAGGCAGTCATTCCCACCATGCCCATTCTGAACCTTATCTAATATGATTTTCCTCTTAGTTTGGTGACATACCGAAGCACAGTTGTAATTCAGGAGTTCAGCTTTCTCCTTAGAGTTGGTAACCAGCTGTCATGAGTTGTTAAGCAATGGCCCCACGCTTCCATTTGTTTTTCTCCTGTTCCCTATACACCTAAAGAAGGACTTCTTATTGCCCTTGATTTCTGTCGCTAGTTTAAATTCAGTCTCCACCTTAGTCTTTCTAATCTGCTCCCTACAAGTGAGAGCCGTTGTTGTATAGTCCTCCTTGGGGACTGTCCCAAGCTTCCATTGTTTGTATGCCTCTTTCTCCTTTCTCAAGAGGACCATGATATCCCTATTAAGCCAAGAGGGCTTACCAGCCCTTCTCCTACCTTTCCTCCGTATGGAAAAGGACTTCTTTTGTGCTTTGAGGATCATGTCCTTGAGGAATGACCACTCTTCATACACTCCTTCACCTTCGGTCCCTGATCCCGCATTGCTTCCTCTACTATTACCCTGACCCTATTGAAATTCACCTTTTTGAAGTCCAGAACTTCAACCCTGCTAGCTGATTTGCCTGCCTTGTGATGGACAGTGAACATGATGGTTTCATGATCGCTATTGCCCAGGCTACCCTCTATATTCAAGTCGCTCACCAGATCATCTCCTTTGGCCAAGACCAAGTCTAGGAGACCTCTGGTTGGCCCATGCACTTCTTGAGTCAGGTAGAGCTCTTCAATACAGGTCAGGAAGCAACGCAACTGATTCAACTTAGCCGAGTGTTCCTCCCAAGAGATGTCTGGGTGATTGAAGTCACCCATGATGACCATGTCTTGTGCACACGTGGCCTCTGCCAGTTCTCAAGAGAACTCCAGATCGAGCTCTGCCCCTGGTTTGATTGTCTGTAGTATACACCTACAGTTAGGTCTCTCTCACCCTGCTCCCCCTGTAGTTTGACCCAGAGGGTTTCAAGCTGCTCTTTGGAATTGATATCAACCTCCAAGGAGGTGTACTGCTCTCTCACATGGAGAACTACATCTCCACCTTTCTTTCCTACTCTATCTCTTCTGTGCAGGGTATAGCCCTCTATGGTTACATTCCAATCATGTGAGGAGTCCCACCAGGTCTCCATAATCCCTACTAAATTATAATGCCCAGTGAAGAGTAGGAGGGCTAGCTCCTCTTGCTTGTTCCCTATCCTCCTGGCATTAGTGTACAGGCACCTGAGTCCTCCAGTTGTGACCCTCAATTTCCTGTGATGTTGAGGGAGAACCATTCCCTCAAGTCTTGCAAGAGTGGCTCTCCTAGTGTCCCCAACTTCAGAGCATTCTTGTCCCCAGGCATGCTCCAGTCAGTGTTTCCCTGTCCCCCGGTGATCTTAGTTTAAAGCCCTATCTAGAAGATCGGCCATCCTGGCCAAGAACAGGGAATTACCCCTCGGCATGTGGTGGATGCCTTCCCTTCCCAGGAGTCATCTCTCCCTGAAGTGTGCACTGTGGTCTGTTCTGTTCCTGCTCCCATTGAAATTGATGGGAGTTTGGCCATTGGATTTGAGGGGAACAAGAACAAGGCCTTAGACTGAAATCATTCAATAATAAAACAAATCAGAAAAAAAGTGTAAAAGATCAAGACAGCATCTTATTGAACATTGAAAGCCCAGAGCATATTTTTCTTAGAGAGTATTTTTAATTATCTTCATTCATATGATCATTTTTCAGTAGTTCTCAGCTACTACAGCAGTGTGTTACTTAAATTAAATCATTTATTCTTCTGTCTTAAGCGGTAAGGGCCTGAACATTTTGTGTAGGAAAGATCCTGACTTCAGTCTTGCAGGTTGCAGCTAAACTTCCTTATATTTTTTTCAGCCTGCTATAGTGGGCCAGATCCTGATATCCCTTACATTGAATAATAATTCATTAAGGTCAGTGTAAACCTTCATTTGAGCAAACGCTAGCCAGTGGGAGTAAAGGCTTCGCAATCCTACCCAATACTTAAAACATTACCATCTTGAAATTGGTGATTTGTTCATTTTTATCAGAAAAAAATAGTATTTGTTTCGCAGAACCTAGTATCACTGCAGGGTGTTGCTAAAAGCTCTAATAAGTTTATTATGGTTTGCCCTAATTACATTACCAGACTTGGCTATTAGTATACATAATATTTAAAAAAGAAGGCTTTAAATATCAGTGTTTTATTTGGATTTTTTTCCCATCATAGGGCTGAAGAAAGACAGTTCTGGATTGGATTTAATAAAAGAAATCCGATGTCTGGAGGATCATGGCAGTGGTCTGATGGAACTCCTGTAAATATTCATGCTATATACTATAAGAACCTATCAAGTTATAGCTGAGCATAAAAACACAAAAACCTTACAAATGACCAACAAATCTGGCCACACATTATGCTGATAGTAATCTGTTTAATCAGATTCAATATGTATTTTGTGCTACCTCTTAATTATTGACAAGTTCAGACTTTGTTCTGTGTACAGGTAAATGTATGGTATTTTAAATAATGACATTCCAAAGAACTGCAAAATGTTGAGTTCATGAAGAGACTCCAAGTAAAAAGTTTAATCATTAGAATTGAATCCAAGAAGTGGAAACTACAAGATGAAACTTAATGACGATTCGTAAAAAATGTTTTAAAGCAGAGCTAAGTTGGTTTGGTTTTACCTCATGTTCTTCCAGAATGTTAAGACGAATGTGTTAATCATGCAGTAAGTTGTAACATGCCACACATTCAAGCAGTTCTAGGGTTACCACACGTCTGGGTTTTCCTGGACACGTCCTCTTTTTTGGTCCTTGTTATCTCGGCAAGTTTTTAAAATGCAAGCAAGCATCTGGATTTTTGCTTTCCCTCTGCTTTCCTGGGCACTAGCAGCTTGTCTGCTTGGGGCTGGGACTAGCGGGCAAGGTGATTCGCTGTTAGAGGGGTCACATGCTCTTCACATGGGCCCTGGCAAGCTGCTCCCAGGTAAGAGACACAGAGTGTGTATGTGTGCAAGCGGGAACTGCGTGGGCAACAGGGCTGGAGGGGTAGGGTGCTGTGAGTCAGGAATATGGGGCACTGGCAGGGCTGGGGGTGGGGCTTAGGAGTGAGGGGCAGAGGCAGGGCACAGGCATATCACTGTCCCCCACCACAATCATATATCCCTCTCCCCTCTCCTCCCCACCCTGCTCCCCACTTCCCCCCCACAGATGTCCTCTTTTTTGATACTGGAAATATGGTAACCCTAATTATCTTTCACACAATAAAAATGACAAACCAGCCTTAAAGTTGTTTCTCCTTAAATGCAAAGCATCTTTGTGGCTGGTTTGTATCTTGCTTTAATTTTTGCTGCATGTTACACATTGAGTGATAGGACTTGGCTAGATCTCCAGCAGCCCAGGATGCACTATACTCTGCGGGCAGTCCCAGGTGCTATACAGGGACTCTGACCAGTCCCAGAACAGCAACAGGGCTGTAAAACACAGTCCGTAGCCAGATGCATGGGCATTGGGGCCTGCCCTCTCATCCCTGTGGGGAACCACGTCTATACGCATAGTCCCAGCTGCTGCACTGGGTCCATGACTGATCCCTCACCCTGGTTTTGTGTAAGAGGAACGCTTCCTGTCCTTTGCACGCAACCAAGGTGACACCTATGCAAGGAGTGGGGGAAAGCTGTTCAAGCTCTCTTTGGGGTGCTAGGGATGGCTAGAGCTGTGTGGGGAGTGTCCCCTGCCCTGAGTTAGTCCTTTATAAAGGGTGAGGGGCATTCCCCCATGGTTCAAGAAATTCCCAGCATTCCTAGGATTGCCTGCATGGTGAAATCTGCTCTTTCACAGAACTGGGGTGACTTGGTTTTATGCAAGGGGTGGCAAACAGATGGACCTGGGAACTATCCTGGGATGAATCAAGGCAAGAGGGAATGTCCCCTCTAGCCAGTCAGGTGAACAGGTGGCATTCAAAACACAGAAGAAGGAGGCTGGGGGTGACCTGGTAGCACCTCTCCAACTCTCCTAGCTAGTGAGCACCGGCAGGGCTAGCTCCTGTGCTGATTTTATCACCTTCAGACAGCCACTTGAATGTCAAGCCATGCACGTTTTCGTTGTGCAACAAAACTCCTCAGTACCTGTAGTACAACAAAAATCATGTCTGCCAGGCCCTAAGGAGTACTGAGTTAGGGCCTTAGGAGAGGGTACTCATGGGCCTTATTTTAGGTTTTTACCATATTTTGAGTACCCATGCTTTTCCTACTCTGTAAATTATTTATAATGGACTAATGATGATACATGCATATGTACGTTTCAAAATCCCTTCTATTAATATTGTATTAAACCATCCCATCTGCAAATCTCAAAGAGGGTTAATGAAAGCATTATTTACTTGCAGGTTGTATCTGCATTTTTGGAGAACAAATATTTTGAGGATGATTCAAGAAATTGTGCTGCATACAAAGCAAATAAAACAGTTTTGCCAATAAATTGCAATGAACAGCGTGAATGGATATGCAAAATACCAAAAGGTAAAAGAGTTAATAAGCTAAAATTTAATTCATATACAGTAACTATAATTATGATAATCATTTTATAATGGGAGAGAAGCAGGGAAGTTGTTCAGAGGCTATAATTTGCTTTTATTCCAGGCCAGGACTCCTCCTCCTCTTTGTTGATGGGAATTCCACTGTATTGAATAAGGCAGCACTGAATGACTCCCTTAGGGTTTGGTGGTCATTTAGCAAATGTAGTAACAATACCAGTGTGCTCAATAGTTTAGAATGGCCTAAATCAGGGCTGTCCATCTGGCAGCCCAAAGGTTGCAGGCAGCCCATGAGGGGTTAACATGCAGCCTGCAGGTTCCTGCCCAGCTATCAGCTCCCCCAGCAATGCTTCTACTGGTGCAGTTATCAGGGTCTCTGGGCTTCTCCTAGCTCCCTTGGTTTTTGCTTCCTCTCTCTGGGGATGAAAGGCACATGGGACCCCAAGGAGTAGGACCGGGCTGCCTGCACTACACATGACAGTAGGGTGATGAAGGGCAAACTGCCTGCTGTGACTGCACAATACATGCAGGAGGAACCAGGCTGCACATGCAGTTGCAGGATGGGAAGCTGGGAAAGGACAGGCTGTTTGCCCATCTTGCTCCAGTGAAGGAAGCCAAGCTATATGTGCTATATGTAGCAGGGGACTGGGTTGCCTGTGAACTCAGGGAGAGATGGGGCTTGCATGTGTCCCACATGGTGTGTAACCCCTCACCACTCAGCAGTTGGGCAGCCTTGGTCTAGACCAATGAATGTTCTAAAAGTCTAGAACCAAGTGCCTTTTTGGTTGCTAAAAAAACGTTCAGTTTGTTGAACAGCTGTCATCACTGTTTTATTCCATCTTTAATTTTTCACCTGACCAGTGAAAGGAGTAGAATAAATTGCAGTTATTAAATTCTACAATACAGTTGGGGGCATTTTGCATGAAATATTGCTTCTTAAATTTTAAATTGAAATACCTCTTTTAATTTTAAATACCTTTTTTACAGGCATTAAACCAAAGAGTGCAGAGTGGTACATACATGGTATGTATGTTCTTTCATATCTTGGAACATTTTAAGATATATCTAAGTGATGAGTAAAAGTAATTATTAAAAGGTTTTAAGTTAAATCTACCACTAAATAATTTTTTAGGAACTGCTTAACTCCCTGCGGGCTTCTATGAGCATGTCCAGATGAGTATGGTCGTGCGGTATGCGGTGCTGCAAACTTGTAGGAAACAGTGCCACATACCGCTCGTTCCGGTGTTCTCCACGCTGCAGAGGTGCACTGCCTGAGCGTGTGCTGCCACTGCTGTTTGTCCTCAGAGAACCAAACATCCATGTTCGTCTGGATGTGCCCTATGAGGCCCAAACCTGCTGCTCTTAGTCAGGAAGTAGAGGTATCAAGATATACCTTCAGTAAAGGTATCAGAATTTGACCACTATTTCACAGGAATTTGCTATCCTCTCAAGTGCATTAGAATTAGTGTGTCAGATTCCTTAGTGTCTTTGTCACATGGTATAATTCCAGGTAAGAGAGAATTCAGTCCCTGAATGGGTTTGTCTCATATTTGAGACTAAAGATAATTAGTGTTTTACTATGGAATCTTGGTCCTGTGATACATTTTTTTAATCGCAAAGAATTTCTCACAAAAGAATCTAGATGCTGTCTTCTGTCTTCCATGACAGCTGTGAATCCTTTGCTTAATTTCTAGAACCATCATGGTTTTATTATCAAGGAGCAGAATACCTTTTTCATGAAAGTCCCTCAGAATGGGCCACTTTTCAGTTCGTCTGTGGGTGGCTTCGTAGTGGAATAGTGTCAATACATTCCTCTGAAGAACAAGATTTTATTCATCAGAAAATTAAAAAGGTAAGAAAACAAGCCTTTTTGTAAGATTATATTTTCACACAATAATTAGTTAATATCTGTTGTGTCTTGGAATCTCTGGTTTTCTGTTGACTTACCTAAAATTCAAAAATAAAAAATAAAAAAGGACTTGGAATCATAGAAAATCATAGACTTCCTCCCTTCAGGCAAGAACTGTTCCTTCTTTCATAAAGTCATAGAAAATTAGAGTTGGAAGGAACCTCAAGAGATCATCTAGTCCAACCCTTGCTCAAAGCAGGACCATTCCAACTAGAGCTTTATTGAGCCAGGCCTTAAAAACCTCCAAGGATGGGGATTCCACCACCTCTCTAGGTAACCTGTTCCACTGCTTCACCTTATTAGTGCAAACTTACTAGTGAGAAATTTTTTTTTTCTAATATCTAACCTAAACTTCCCTTGCTGCAACTTGAGACCATTGCTCCTCGTTCTGTCATCTGCTACCACCAAGAGCAGTTTAGCTTTTCCTCTTTGGAACCACCCTGCTGTCTTCTCTTCTGCAAACTAAATAAGCCCAGTTCCCTCAGCCTCTCCTCATAAGTCATGTGCCCCTATTTTCATGACCCTTTTCCTGTTTGTTCCATGCATTCAACTGTGTCCATACAAGCCACGTGAGCTTCTATGGAGTGTAGCTTGTAGCTACATTCAGACTGAATTTGTGGTACCATGATGGCTGATCTTCTCACAGAAGGACTCAGAATTCATAAATGGTGCTCCAGATTCTGAAATAGTCAGCTGCATAAGGCCAGATTTAATGTTACAGTTTTACAAGTACATTTTCCCTTTCCATACAGTAAATTATACCTGGGCTTTGGGTAATAAGCTTGAAAACATACTGGGCACACCTAGATATGCAGTTGTTACTGACAGTTGTAACCACCAGTACCGTGCAGTCCTGGTGCAGCATGGGTTTTTTCCAACCCTACTGTGCTGTAGCAATGAGCTACTGCACAGTAGTGGAGACATCATGGTTCCTGCCTGCTGATGCTATGTTGCTGTAGCAACAAGCTATGTCACCATAGCTCATCACTATGACAACATAGCGGCTCATGTAGATGCACCCACTGTGTGTATCATCCTTATGTGCATTCATGTGGAGTGATCTAATCTTTCTTGAACATTTGAAGTCCTCTTCTAAAACATATCACCAAAATGATAACAGGAGGTGTGTGTAAGTTGACTTGAAATAAGGCAACTTAACTAAGTCAACTTAAGTCAATTTAGTTAAGTTAAGCCATGTCAGAGCATACACACATACAGCTCCTTAACATGATGACAGCCATCTTGGGAGCCTTCCCCAGCAGTAGCCCCTGGCCACCAGCTTAGAAGCACCTTAACTAATACAACTCAAAATAATACACCATGGAGATGTATTACCTGGCGCTGTGTTTAAGCTCTGCATACCTCTGTATGCTCTGACAGTTAAGTCATCTTATAAAAGTTAAGTTAGTTTAACTATCAGAAAGTTAGCATGTGTGTACACACCCTGAAGGGCTTAGTTACTCTTCAGCGGAGCTGACCAAGAATCAGACATCCAGAGCTCCTAGTCACCAAGCTATATGCTTCTGATTCTGTGCAGCATGTCAACTTTTCCTTTGCACAGGCCAACCCAGGACATCACTCCCAACTTCCACACTCACATATGATTTCTTCCAAATTAGAGCATGTTAACAGGGTCACACCCCAGGGGCAGCTGTGATGCCCCCTGATGGCCATACGATTCCTGCCCCACTCAGTTCTAAGGCAGTGTTTTCTAGCCCTGTGCAAATAGGGAAGTATTCAATTTGGATTTGGAGGACAGTGATTCGATTCAGAGATTTAGATCACTGTCCTGAACTGACTCGGCTGAATCAGCTTCGGAAGATTCAGTGCTGATTTGGACAGATTCAGTGATTCAAATTTGCCAGGGAGAAGCAGGCACAGCTGGGCAGCTCCTCTGGCTTGCCTGCCTCTCCCCAGCTGGGGGGAGCCGTGGGACTATTTGATGTCCTCGTGGTTACGCGGCATGGGCCGCTAGTCTCTGTGGGCTGCCTCGGATGGCGGCCGGCGGTAAACGTGGACCCCGCACCCCAATGGGGTGCGGGGAGGGATCTGATGGTTAAAATACCCCCGAAGGGGTGGGTCCCGCTGGTCGCCGTCATCGTCATTGCGTTTGCTGTTGAGGTGAGGGACGACCAGCCCCAGAAGACATCAATTAAAACAGTCTGGATCGGGTAACTCGTTGGCGTCCGGCACTCGATGGTGTTGGTGGTTGTCTAAAAGGCTAAAAGCATAAAAGCGTAAAAAACTAAAAGCCTAAAACCGCCATGGGACCACCACTGGGTAGGGCGACCAGCGCCTTGGGAGAAGCCCCCATGACTACCCTGCCCCACCCCATCCCCAACCCAGCCCCAGCCTAGTCCCAGCACTTAAAAAAAAAAAAAAAAAAAAAAAAAAA